CGGGAACCCCGGGGCGGCGGTGACGGGGCCGCGGGGGCGCCATGACGGCGCGGCGGGGCCACCAGGGGCGCCGGGCCGGTCTCCATGGCCGCGGGCCGCCCCTCACATCCCCCCCGCCGGGGAGGCCGCAGAAGGCGCCGCCCCTCGGGCCTCCCGGCGAGACCAGCCGAGAAAGGGGAGAGGGCGAAGGGCGCGGCTCGGCGCGCGCCGGGGGCGGGGCGGCCGCTGGGCGCGCGGAGGCGGGGCAGGGGTCCGGGGGCGCCGCGCGCCGGGGTCTAGCTCGTGCCGGCCCACCCCCTCCCCCGCTCTGGCCGCCGCCCCCTCCCTCCCGCTTGGGGCGAGCCGCCGACCTCGCGCCTGCGCACACGCCACAGAGCCGGCTCCGCGGCCAGCATCTCGGTGTTCCACGCCTGCGCGCGGACTGGCCCATCGCGCTCCTTTTTTCTCCCGCCTCGTCAGAGGATTTGGACGAATAGTGGGAGAGAGAGAGCTGGGCTTCTGCCAATCGTTGGAACCGTGGGCGGGGCCGGAGACGAAAAAGGGGTGGCTCATCTGGAAAGAGGAAACGTAGAAGGCGTAGGGCTGTAAGACCAGTCAGAGGACGAAGAAAGGCAGGGGGAGGTGGGACCAAAGAAATAACCAATAGAAATGCAGGAGCCTGACCCTCCTGGCCAATAAATATGACTGAAGAGTGAATGACCGCGGAAGGGCGGAGGAGAAGGCAGGGGCTGTACGAGTAAGAGGTGGGGCCTGGCAGCTTCTTGACCAATAGGAACGGTAAAAACAGAGCCAATGAAAAGGGGAGTAGGTGGTGGCCAAATTGACAGGCAGTGATGTCTCTTTAGGCGGTGACAGACAACATCCGCAGTCAATAGGAAGAGCTGAGGAATTCTTTAGGTCTCCCAAAATGGTCAGTTAGGAATGACAGCTGGGAGGAGGCGGGGCAAGCTAGAGATTAATTCGCCTCGTCAGCCAATGATCGTGTTCTCCCACTTCGACCACAGGACAGGAAAATAGATAGCTGTCTCAGCCAATGGGAGCATCCAAAGGGCAAAGACGCTGCCAGCAGGCGGTGCCAGCCCAGGGATAGTCGGTGACAACCGGAGACAAGCCCTACAGGAGGGTGACAGCTGGGGACAGTACGGAGAAGGGGCGGGGGCATTAGTGCAGCCTTCAACCAATGAGTGCCGCGCTGCCCTTCTCGAGTCCTTCCCGGGCCCCTATTCTTCGTTTAACTCCTGAGCCCCCAACTCTGGTGGTCTGTGGGACCCTGAGCCCCACCACAGATCCAGTGCCCTGACCCAGTACCCTCAGCCATTACTCTGTAATTCTCCGATCCCGGCCCCAAACTAACCCCAACACTCCAGGCCCAGGTTGCAATAGCCAGAGGCCCTAGATCCTATAAGCAACCCATCTCTCTGCTTCACCCATTTCCTGCGGGAATCCCAACCTCCAAGTCCCTCTCCTCAGTTCCCATCTATCTGAGCTCCTCCCCAGAACCCAGGCTCCAATTCCTCAGACCTTATGCCTCTGAGTACCCCCACCATTTCTTCTAGTGAGGATCTCAAACCCCAAATCCACGAATCCCCAGTACCATGAACTCCCCATATGTGTGTTATTATTCTTTTGGGGATCCGAGGCCCCAGTCCCGTCAACCCCTTCCCCTCAGTGCCACATCCCTCTGTGCTCCTCATGTTCCTCTGAGAACCCCGACCTCAATCTCATGAGCGCTCCCAGGTTGTCCTTAGATCACAAGCATAAAGACCTGACGTTATGAGCTCCAACCTTCCAACTTCTAAACACCCTCTTCTTTCTCTGACCCCCATAGTCCGATTTCCATACAGCATCCACCATTCTGGAATTCCAGTGAGACCTAGCTCCCGACTTTTCAGTTCCTCCTTGGTTTCTGAGTTCTCAAAGGTCCCTCACTCTCAACTCAGTCCCAAGTCCTGTCAATTCCCATTCAGTGTCTGATCTCCTCCTCACCTTTCCCATCTCCCATTTGACCCAAGCTTCCTGAGCACTCCTCCCATTCCCCTTTTTGGAGTCCTCCTGCTCTCCCAGAACCCAGTAATAAGTGGGCTCCTCCCTGGCTTGGACCCCCATGGTAACCCTATAAGGCGAGGCAGCTGCCGTCTGAGGCAGGGAGGGGCTGGTGTGGGAGGCTAAGGGCAGCTGCTAAGTTTAGGGTGGCTCCTTCTCTCTTCTTAGAGACAACAGGTGGCTGGGCCTCAGTGCCCAGAAAAGAAAATGTCTTAGAGGTATCGGCATGGGCCTGGAGGAGGAGGGAGGGGGGAGGGCGAGGCATCTTCTTCAGGACATCGGGTCCTAGAGGGAGCAGGAGGAGAAGGAGATGGTTGTCCTTGCCAACCTGGGGCTTCCTCAGCCACTATTTTTCCAGACTTCTGCTGCATGGAGGGGACTGGGTCACTGAGGCCCAGAGGGAGAAGAGAGGGTACATCAAAGCTACACAATCAGCCAAGCTGGCTCTTGGCCAGAATGAAGTGAGCAGCCACTGGCCATCAAGGCACCTCACAGAAGGTGACCAGCTGGCTGTCCTCTTAGGGTCTTTGCCTCCCCTCCTGAGTTCCAGCCTCCACACCAGTACCCAGAGAAAATATTCTAGACTCATACTAGATCACATCCTTCTGCATGAAACCTTTCCAAGGTTCCCCAGGGTCTCCATCCTGTGCCTGGCCTTGAAGGCCCCTCAGGGGCTGGTCACCAGCCCCATCACAATTCTGGCAACCTGAATACCTCTGATCTTGTGCTCTCCAGGCCTTTGCTCAGGCCATGCCCTCTGCCCAACACACCTGCTCCTCCACCTGCACCTGACTCCCTAGCCCTCATGAAGCCACTCCCATACTCCTAGACAGGGCTGCCGAGCCCTCCACTTCTGGGCTCCTGACCAGCCCTGGTATGTCACTTTCTGCATTCATTCCTGTCTCTATGGCTAGACTGTAAGTTCCAGCAAGGCAGGGATAATTATTAGTTATAATGCAAGTTCTGTGGGATGGGAACTACCTCTCCCTTTTACAGAGGGGAAACCAAGGCCCAGCACAAAAGCTGAGACCACAAAGTATCTCACCTCAAAAAAATCCCTCTCAGCTTGGCACGGTGGCTCACGCCTGTAATCCCAGCACTTTGGGAGGCTGAAA